GACAGCCAGAAAGCCAGCATGGGACCGACCTAGGTCCTCTGCATCTGGGTGACAGTTGTGTAGACTGGTCTTTTGTGGGGTCCCTAGCAGTGGGACCAGAACCTGTCTCTGATGCATGAGTTGGCTCTTTGGAACCTATTTTCTATGGTGGGATGCCTTGTTCATCTTTGATGCAGTGGGGAGGAGCTTGGTCCTGCCTCAACTTGATATGCCATGCTTTGTGGATTACCAAGGGAGACCTTATCTCATCTGAATGGAGAGAGAGGAATGGATGAGGGGGTAGAAGGGAGGTGGGGGGAAGGAATGGGAGGAAAAGAAGGGGAGAAAACTGGTTGGTATGTAAAATAATAATGAAAAAAAGATCTTCACATTATTTTCAGAGAATAGTATTTATATTATCTATGCTGTGGGAACTTAATGAGGTTTACTTTTAGTATACTATATGCTTAATTTTCAAGAACTTTACAAGGTACTTGTAAAAATTGTACAGAACTTGACAATACTCATTAAATCCACCATGCTGCTGATGAAAATATCATTCTGTATTCTGTGCATGCGCCTATTGGTATGTATGTGCTTGTGTGGGAGGATGTGGGTGCATGTGGAAGGTAGACAGCAATCTTGGGTGTTGTTCATCAGACATTATCCACCTGCTTTCTTGAGACAGGTTCTCTCACTGACCTGGTACTTGACAAGTATGCTAGGCTAGCTGACCAGTGAGCCTCAGGGAACCATCTAAACTTTGCCTCCCTGGAGTTGGGATTAAAATCGCACATTACCACACTTGGCTTTATATGTGGTAATGGGGAGCTTGAACTCAGGTCTTCATGCTTATACTGGGAACACTTTACCAATAGAGCCATCTCCCAGCCCTGTATTCTCATTTTTTTAAATGCCAATTGAATTGTCTTAGAGTGGGAGAAGTAAAGACTTACTGTTTTCTGAAAGGTGCTGTTTAGTACACCATTATAGCTTCCATATAGACAACATGTTTTAGGATTATATAAAATGCATGCCTTTATCTTACTTATGCTTTCTTGCTTGAATTTTACTTTATTAAATTCATTACTCCTATTTCTTTTTTATATGCATTTGTCATAGGCCTTTTGCCTATTGTTTAAAAGAAATTGTTCCTTTGTGATAAGATGTGTAGTCTAGGCTAGGCTCAAACTGTATCTGAGGCTGGCCTTGAACTCCAGATCTTCCCATTTCCTAAATCCTTGGATTACAGGTGCACTACCATACCTAGCTCCATCCTTTCATTTTAACCTTTAACCTATGTTTCAAGTATTTCCTCTATGCAGTTATAGCATTGGTTTGCTTCACTGCCTAATCCTCATAACTTTTTAAAAGTACAATAAGACAATTTACATTTATTCAGATAACTCTATGTAAATACTTCATATTATTTAGTCTTTTCTAAAAACATTATTGATGAATATTGATATTAGTCCACCAGACTTCTTTGAAAGTCTGGCAGAATTCTGTGCTAAAAGTATTTGGCCCTAGGCTTTATTTATTTATTTGTTTGTTTATTTATTTATTTAGTTGGTTGGGATACTTTTAATGATTGTTTCCATTGGTGTTATATGTCTATTTAAATTGTTTATCTGATCTTGAATTAACTTTGATAAGCGGTATCTATCAAGAAAATTCTTCATTTCTTTTATACGTTCCAATTTTGTGGAGTACAAGTTTTTGAAGTATGACCTAATGATTCTTTGGATTTTCTCGGTGACTGTTGCTATATCCCCCTTTTTGTTTCTGATTTTGTTAATTTGGATATTCCATCTCTGTCTCTTAGTTTGGATAAGGATTTGTCTATCTTGATGACTCTCTCAAAGAACAAACTCTGTTTCATTGATTCTTTGTATTGTTCTCTTGGTTTCTATTTTATTGATTTCAGTTCCCAATTTGATTATTTCCTGCCATCTACTCCTCTTGGGTGTGCTTGCTTCTTTTTGTCCTACTGCTTTCAAGTGTGCTGTTAAGTTGCTAGTATGAGATATCTCTAATTTCTTTATGAAGGCACTTAGTGCTATGAACTTTCCTCTTATCACTTTCCTTATATCCCATAAGTTTGGGTATATTGTGCATTGAATTTCAATGAATTCTAGGAGGTCTTTAATTTCTTTCTTTATTCCTTGATCCAGTAGTTGTTCAGTAGGGAGTTGTTCTGTTTCCATGAGTTTGTAGGCTGTCTGTTGTTATCGAAATCCAGCTTTAATCTGTGGTAGTCTGATATGATATGGGGTTTTTCAATTTTCTGGTATCTGTTGAGACTTCCTTTCTGACTGAGTATGTGGTCTATTTTGGAGAATATTTCAGGAGGTGCTAAGAAGAAAGTACATTCTTTTGTGTTTGGTAAATGTTCTGTAGATATGTTAGGTCCGTTTTGTTCATAATGTCTGTTAGCTCCATTATTGGTTTGATTTTTGTCTGGATGACTTGTCCATTGATAAGAGTCGGGTATTGAAGTCTCCCACTCTTAATGTGTGAGCTTCTATGTGTGATTTAAGTTGTAGTGGTGTTTTACAAATGTGGGTGCCCTTGTGTTTGGGGCAGAGATGTTAAAAATTAAGATGTCATCTTGGTGGATTTTTTCTTTAATGAATAAATATCCTTCCCTGTTTCTTTTGGTTAATTTTGTTTGAAAATCTATTTTGTTAGATAATAGGTTAGCTACACCAGCTTGCTTCTTGGGTCCATTTACTTGTCAAATCTTTTTTCCAACCCTTTTACTCTGAGGTAATATATGTCTTTGATGTTGAGGTCTGTTTCTTGTTTGTAGCAGAAGGATGGATCTTGATTTTTTGCATCCACCCTGTTAGCTTGTGTCTTTTTATTGGTGAATTGAGTCCATTGATATTGAGAGATATTAATGACCAATGATTGTTAATTCCTGTTATTTTTTTGTTGTGTGTGTGTGTGTGTGTGTGTTTCCATTCTTTTGGTTTTGATGGTGTGAGATTATTTCTTTTGTTTTCTCAGGTGTTTTTCTTCTAATATCTTTGTAGGGCTGGATTTGTGTATAGGTATTGTTTAAATTTGACTGTGTTATGGAATATCTTGTTTTCTCTATCTATGATGATTGAAAGTTTTACTGGGTATAGTAGTATGGACTGGCATCTGTAACATCTGTCCAGGTCCTTCCAGCTTTTAGAGTCTCCATTGAGAAGTTGGGTATAATTCTAATAGGTCTGCCTTTATATGTAACTTGACCCTTTTCCCTTGCTGCTTTTAATATTCTTTGTTCTGTATGTTTAGTGTTTTGACTATGTGGTAGCAGGGGGTGGGTGCATTCTCTTTTCTTGTCTAATCTATTTGGTGTTCTGTAAGTTTCTTATACCTTTATAGGCATGTTCTTTTTAAGGTTAGGAAGTTTTTCTTCAATGATTTTGTTAAAAATATTTTCTGAGCGTTTGAGCTGAGATTTTTCTTCTATTATTATTCTTAGGTTTGATCTTTACATAGTGTCCCAGATTTCCTGGATGTTTTGTGTTAGGAATTTTTTAGATTTAACATTTCCTTCTATCAATAAATCAATTTCTTCTATCATATTGTCTATGCCTGAGATTCTTTCTTCCATCTCTTGTATTCTGTTGATGATACTTGAGTCTGTAATTCCTGTTTGCTCACCTAGATTTTCCGTCTCCAGGATCCCCTCAGTTTCTTTATTGCCCCCTTTTCCGTTTTCAGGTCTTGAGCAGTTTTATTCATTTCTTTTACCTGTTTGCTTTTTTCTTGGCTTTCTTTAAGGCACTTATTTCCTCTATGTTTATGTTTTTCTGGATTTCTTTAAGGGATTTATTCATTTCCTCTTTAAGGACTTCTAGCATCTTCATAAATTTGGTTTCAAGGCCATTTTCTTGTGCTTCAGCTGTAGAAGGGTTACTTTAGGAGGATAGCTGGGCTCTGGTGGTGCCATATTGCCCTTGCTGTTGTGTTCTTATACTGGTTTCTAGGCATCTGTCTGGGTTTGGGATGAATATTGGTCTAGGTGCCCATTTCTGAGTTTGTCTTTGTTGGATGGGTGTTTTATTCTTTGTTTTATGTCTTTAGTCTTCTGCTCCTTGTGGTCTATATTTCTAGTGGCCACGTGTGACCTCTGGTCAAGCAGGGAGTCTCCCTCAGAGTGGGAGGTTAGACTTCAGGCCTTTGTCCTATAGCAGGGGTGGGAGAGCTGTTTTTCTTACTGGCCTATACCTGAGCAGTGGATATCCACCCGTGCAGGGACAGGGGCATGGCAGTGGGTATGGACAGTGGGCAGGAAGGAGTGACAGCAGTTTGGGTCCTTGGGATTTGAACCAAGGGCATAGGAGGTTTTCAAGAGCAGGTGGGCCTCTTAGCTGTTCTGACTGGCATGGCCTACACCTGAACAGCACTCCACTGTTACTTTTAAAGTACAGATGTTTCGTGACTTAGATTTTTTTAATTTTGTGGAGTGATATAGTGTCTACCACACCTTAAAATTTGACTCCCCATCTCACCCCCTGCCCAGACTAGTGTTCCATGGCATGATTTTTGTGATTCTGGGCAGCAGTAGGAAGCTGCAGGTCCTAGTCAATCATATAATTATCAGAATAAGCAACCGATACTCTAAAATGTATTTTTTCTCCCTAAACTCTTAACACTCAGTAGGTGAGATGTATTTTTGCCTTTTAACTCACAATATTCTCAGGGTTAATCTAGGCATGACCACAGGAGGCAATGTTACATCATTACTCATTTTTTTTGAAATTGTTTTTTTTTCCTTTAATGATATAAAGCACATGGTTATTCTGGTCCATTTGTCTCACTTTGTCTTGATTATATAGTTCAATTTATTAAACCCTCAATGCTAGTCCTTTTGCTACTTTTTCCCATTTATCATTTTTAGTGAAATGCACAGATCTCCAGGGTGAGTGGAATAAGACTTTAGTTTGTATATCAGATTAAATTAAATGGCCCTCAGTCTGGGACAGCAATACCATATACATATAGAAACAGCACTATCTTTAAGGCATAGTACACAATCATCCAGATATTTATTTCATCACTGGGAGCACATTTTGCAGATGGACAAAAAACAAGGAAAAGAAAAGTGAAGATATTAGGTTTGTTTGTTCATTTGTTTGCCTGAGGAATTTGCCAGCTTGGTTTTTTTCTTTAAAAAGTTGATGTTTAGTTCATTCTTGACTCCCCCCTCCCCTGCCATGTGCTGTGCAGTTATGTACACATTAGAGTGGGTGTCTGCTGAGGCCAGAGGAATCAGAACTGGAGTTACAGGGGGTTGTGAGTTGCCATGTGGGTGCTGAGAACTGAACTTAGGTCCTCTACAAGAGCAGCAAGTGCTTTTAAGCACCAAGCAATTGCTGCATTTCACAGCTTGGTTTCTTTTCACTTTTTCTGTCCTTGCCTAGCCTTCTTGTATGTGCTGTATTTTCTCCATGGCCATTCTATGAAGCATACTCATGTTTTCAATTCCACCTTATATGATATCTGTCTATATATGATCTTATCCACAGTTTGTTCACTCACCTTCTGTCTTTTCAATGTCTTTACACTCATTTTGAAATTAGGATGATTTTAATGGCATGTAAGAAGAAATAACCATGCTCAGTTGCCATAAGTTGAATCAAAAGTTAGGTTTTCAAAATCCTAATTAGTAGGTCATTATTGATTAGTAAGAAGCCATTAGTCACTGTATAGTCCTGATACATATGTTACTATATAATTCCCCAAATAGATATTTTCTATTATGAATTCCATAGTAATTTGCATTCATTTATATTTTTATAAAATTCAGTATTTTATCAGTTAATTGACTCCAGATGGTTGAGTTGACATTATCTGATAAACAACTATATTGACTATAAAGTACAAATAATTAGGTATGAGAACAATGTAAGATAAAGTGAAGCATGTCTTTGTCATGGTCCAGAGGACTTCATCTCCTGTCTGAACCCCCTTTTTCTTGACTATAGAATTAGGGGCAGTGAAACTAAGGCTCTTTTGCCTTTAATAGTTTATAAATATAGATGTAAGAAAAATCACAAAGATTTCCTAAGGCATAAACAAAACAGTGTTCTGCAGAGGTGTATGAAGTCCCTGTCCATACGAAAAGCAGTAGTAGCCATACTCGAAAGAAGAATAAAGCCTACTTATTTTTTGTCACAATTAAGTTATCCTATATACCTTTCTTTACTTCTTATGCTGTGTCTCACTGGGTAGCTGGGTGGCTGGCCCCAGATGTCTTCCTCCTCCTGCTTTTCTCATTCCTAGATATCTCTCCCTACCCAGATTTCTCCTTCTATTTATTCTCTCTGTTTGCCAGCCCCACCTATTCTTTCTCCTGCCTTGCTATTGGTTGTTCAGGTCTTTATTAGACCAATCAGGTGTTTTAGACGGGCAAAGTAACGCAGCTCACAGAGTTAAACAAATGCAACATAAGAGAATGCAATACATCTTTGCACCATTAAACAAATATTTTACAACATAAACAAATGTAACACATCTTAAAATAATATTCTACAACACAAAACTCCTGTTTTGAATCACAGAAACTAGGAAATTTTTTACCAGATGTGGCAGATTAAGGTTAAATCCATGTTCTTTCTTGTTTTAAAAATTATTATTTTTAATTAAGTGTATGTCCATGAGTGTGAATAGTCATGGATGCCAGAAGCATTGAATTCCCTTGGAGCTTGAGTTACAGGAAATTGTAAGCCATCTGATGTGCACACTGGAAATTAAACACATCTTCTTTGAGAGTATATGCTCTTAACTGTTGAGCCTTCTCTGTGGCCCCTAATCCATATTCATCATACAAGCCATTGTTATATTTACTTGCTCTAAGACTACAACTCTTCACAAAGCAAGTTACATGAACATGAGCTCTTTGAAGGACTTTAGAAGAAACAATAATGAAAAAATATCTATAAATGAATAAGTATACATTCTAGTTTGTTTTGGCCTATGATAATATGCCATTTGTCCTGGTATAATTAGTAATAACATCTCATCATTCTCAAGTGTCCCATTTATAAGTTACCCTGTCTCTATAGCAGACTTGGATTTGAATACTGCCTAACCCATGGAACTAAGACCTTAGTAAGATAAGATGTTTGAATCTAAGTTCTGTGACTGGTCTTAAAAATAAGTGGTGCCAGGAAAAGTGTAATGATTGTGCCTACAAAGAAAGAATAAACAGCCAACTGCATACTGTATCTCTTATATATACTGAACTGCTGCTGTAAGGGTGGATACTCAGGGATCACAGAAACTTGTTTATAGGAAGAATGACATACTTTTTATAAATACATAGTAGCAAGGAATATCTGAAAGCACTGAAAGAGTCTATATTAAATATAAAGCTTTTCCATTGCCTACCATGATATCTAAAATTCTTCTGTAGTCAAAATTAATTTATGTGGGTTTTATTTCTTCTTTAGTCCTGGACTGATATCACAGTTTGCTAATCACAACACTTGATTATAAAGGAATCAGTTTGGGAGCAAAAAGTAAAGTTCCCCAGGATGGAGCCAGATCAGAGGAAACTTACACTAAACAAGAAGTCTGTTTAGTGCATCCATGGCCCCTTTTAGTATCCACACAACACTTGCATCTTTGTGTCATTCAATACATTCTACAAGAGTTCATGGAAGTTAGAAAAAATAACAGCTAATGCTTGTTATTGCTCTAGTACTAGTTTAAACAATGTATCTGTATTCACTTGGCTTTATAAAACTATGGCTTTGGCTCAAATACCATTGATTAAACAAGGTAATCCCCTAATACAGTTGTGCACTTTCTGCGTTTTTCTGCACAGATGAGGTAGGACTGGGGTTGCAATGTCATGCCCAACCTGGGTTTCAGGTTTGGAACTAGCTCATGTGGAAAATGCAAATGAAACTGCTGAAGTAATGCTGTAAAAAACAAGAACATTTCCATCCTAGCCAGCTGTTCTCCAAGACAATGTCTTCTCCCTGAACAGAAAAGGAAATAAGTTTAAAGACTATTTACTAAAATTAATTATCTAATATTTGGATATCATTCAGGAAATCAGGAACTTAAAGTAGGTTAGAAGACACCATATTATGAGAATAATCTCTCAAATCTCAAAGATTTGAAACTAGCACTTTATCCAAGAAACACATTCCTTTATTTCCTTATATCAGATCATGGACTTTTTAAGATTTTGTTCCCATCTCTGACTTCTCTTGTACAATGCAAGAGAGCTCATGATGTGCTATAGGTCTTTGGGATGTGACATTTTGTTCTTACAGATCCAAGGGAAGCCCATTTCAACTGATCTATTGAGTACTTTCCTTAGTGATAAAGATGTAGCCAATCTTCCAATATTTCATAGCAGAAGCAGTAATTCCTAGTTGGAGATGACATGATAAACTACAAGGCAAGATTCTAGCTTTACTTGGAGTTGTCATATCTCTCCTTTCCTTTATATGGGTTTCAGTTTCTCATACTTGTTACTGAATTTTTGCTGTAGAAGTTTGACTACAACCCCAACATTCATAAGTTAAAAAGTTTCTGAGTAGCCAACCAGAGGTTCTCAACAACTTTAGCTTTATTTTATTAACTAAGGCATATTTTGAATAGAAACAAGTGCTCATTACTTTAACGAAACCATCCTCTCCTATAAGAAGTAATGTTATATGTAAGAGCAGGGATGGAGGACACCAAAAAACAAGGTCCTCTAAACCAATGATTGAAGCTCATATGAACTCGGAGGCTGAACATGCACAGGGCCTGCACAGTCCTGCACCAGGTTCTCTGTATATATATATATATATATATATATATATATATATATATAGCTTCCAGTTTAGTGTTTTTATGGGATTCCTAAGTGTGTGAATGAGTGGGTCTCTGATTTTTGTGCCTTTTCTTGTTGTTTGTGTGGTAGTTTTGTTTCATTATATTTTACTTTGTTATATTTTATTATTATCCCATAGAAACCTGTTTGTTTTTTATAAGAGACAAGAAAAGGAGTGGATCCAGATGAGAGGTGAGATGGAGAGAAACAGGGAAGAGTAGAGGGAGAGAAAACTGTAATCAGAATCTATTATGTGAGGAAAAAAATATTTTCAATCAAAACAAAAAATACTAAAAAAAAAAAAGAATTAATTTTAAGTATTAAGAATTAGCCAGTATGGAGCAGGTTGCTTCAGATTGAGATGGTATGAATGAGTCATTGTTATACTTTAAAATTATATACATGTGAATGTTTTCTTACCTAGAGAAAAAGGAATGAAAGCTTCCTTTCTAGTAAAACATCCACTGTTGTCCAGAAATCGCTCAGGATAGAATATGTCTGGGTCTTTCCAGTACTTTTCATCAAAGTGAACAGAATAAAGATTTGTAATGACTGTTGTGCCTTTAGGAATGGAATAACCACGTACAATTGCATCTTCAGAGGTTGCATGGAAAATCCCCAGTGGAACTATATTACAGAATCTTAAAACTTCATGTAAAACTGCTTCAGTATAAGGCATTTTACACTTGTCTTCCCAAGAAGGCCTCCTATTGTAGCCCATAATTAAATCAATCTCTTTATGAACTTGTCCTGTGAGAGAAACATTAAAATTATGGAATTCTTAAAATTATATGTAAACTTATTTCTTGTTGGGCTACAACAAATGATAACCCATAATATATCAACAGAATTGGATGTATCTATATTTGAATTTTTCATCTTCTGGTAGTTACTTGAATTAATTATATACCCCCTATACCTTGCATTAGTAATAATCAACACTCTGGGTAAGGTCAAGAAAAAGATGATGAATAAATGTGTCATCAGCCTAGAATCAGAGTAGTATCACTGTCAGCAAGGAAAATAACAAAACATTAGATCTAAATAAGAAAAAGCAGAGTTCACATCCCAGCTTTGTGGCTTCTAGACACTCATCCTTTGTCATCCTTTATTAAACATACATATTAAGATGCACTTTTAAGTTGTTGTTGTTGTTTTTTTTTAACATAGTACCATTCTACATATCCAAGGTTGGTTTTAAACTTACTATGCAGGCTACAGTGGCCTTGAATTTAAGATTCTCCTGCCTCAGCCTCCTGAGTTCTGAGATTAGAAGAAAATCACCACCATGGCTAGCCTTCAGATGATTTCTTTCTTCCTTCTTTCCTTTCTTTCTTAAATTTGCATTGAAATACTAGATTTGAAAACTATAATTATAAGATATTTCCCTTCTTGTCTATAACAGGTAGAATTCCTAAAAGTGTTTTATACATGGCCAAACACTCTAACGTATACACAAGCCCTATATGTAAGGAGAAACCCTGAGGTCAAGAGTATCCTCACCTTGAATATTAGGATAAAGAGCCATGAAAAGAACTGCCCAGCGTAGCACATTGGTTGTAGTTTCGGTTCCAGCAATGATGAGTTCACCCACTGAAAAAACCAGATTCTCTTTGGAAAACGTAGATAAAAGATCATTTTCACCTTGATCCATCTCATCTAAATAGGCATCAACAAAATTCTGAGGTAAATGAGGCTTTCTGTTAACTGCAGCTTTTTTAATAAGTCCTTCGAGGAAATCGTAGACCACATCTGCATTTCTGAATAGCTTTTGGTGTTTTCCGAAAGGTAATATGCCAATCCATGGAAATGCATTATACAGGAAGACAGGAGCACTGGCAGCTAGTTCCACATTCTCACTAAATAACTCAATCATGTGTTGAAAATCAGTGTCTTCATAAGTAAATCGTTCTCCAAAAAGGATAAGATTAGTTATGTTTGAAACAGCACTTGTTATTAGTTGCTTGAGGTCAAAAGGTTTACCTTTGTATGTTTTAATAGCATCAATTAGAAACTGGGTTTCTTCTAAGATTTTAGATTCAAAAGATTTTTGGCCACATCCAAAATAGTGAAAACTGTTAACAGCCAATCTTCTGTGATCAATCCATCCTCGGCCATATCTGGAATTGAGTAAGCCTAAAATAAAATATTAAAAATAATGTGTAATTCATATTTCTCTGTATTTAAAATGTTGTGAAATAAAGAAAACATGAAGGAAAAATTCAAAGATGGATAATCAGTGATTTTAGCCCCAGTTATCTAAGTACATGATTGGATCCTAGTTGATGCTGCTCAAAGCCACGATCAAACCTATTCCTCATGAAAGGACTCTCAGAAAGACCTATAATTCTCATTCTCTTACCACAAGAAACTCTCCAGTCTTATTTGTAATCAAACACAGATAAACTAGGTCTATATAAATCTACTAGTTAGCTTTCCTCATACAAACATATATATATATATATATTATGAAAGACAAATGATTGTATGTTCTATGGACAAAATTTAATTTTGGATTAAACAAATACCCCCCAAATACAAAGTTTTTGTTTGAAAGAAACTAGATTTTTACAATACAAATTTTCTTCTGTTGAAGGTACATAATACCTAACAAGGTAACTATACCAAAGTCAAGGGCAGCCTTGAATTGTTCAAAGTAATAGAAATGCTTATGTAATAATAATATAAAAGACAAACATGAATTCAAAACTTGTTAATGTTATTATTACCTGGATTTTGCCTATTTAGGCAAGACACTGAAATTTTCTTGAAAGTAAGTGTGAAGGTCTCATTACAGAATTTAGAACATTACTGTAAAAAAAATCAGATACTAGTTCTATCTGGTGTCAACATTCTATTTTAGATTTTCTATTGCTGCTTTCTCCTTGATTGTGTCAATTTTCAGCTTTTCTTCCTTGAAGAATATGTAGTCATCCAAAGCTGATCATTACTAAGTCCTACAAAAAAACCTGTCCTTTGTATAAACTCTACAGCTTTCCTTTTATACAGCATAATGATGAGTAGTTAGGAAAGCTTACTTTCTATAAGCTTGTACATGATAAAAAAGTCTGTCACCAAGTACTCAAGATTGTGACCAAAAGGAAACTTCTGATTCATGGTGTGTGTGTGTGTGCGTGTGTGTGTGCATGTGTGTGTTTTGTGTGTCTGTGCACTCCTAAATTGTTTCAGTACTTACCAAGTACTAATTCTTTAAAGCATTACTTATGTTTCTTAGAACTGAATGGCAATAAAACTAGCATGTAATGGCCTAAAACATTATTGAATGCAGTCTGATGGCTCCTCAAATCTAGGTTTCACAAAGTACAAAGCAATCTGTCTACAGTAAAATTATTTACAATAAAGAATGTGATTTAAAATAGGTTCACTGAACAGTTGAAAAAAAACATACCTCCCATTTTTGTCATCTTCATGAACAAAGGAAAGCATGGTCTATCTGCAAAAATTTCACTTTGATGAACAAGGCATTCTTTTACTACATCATAGCCATTTAGAACCACAGTTGATATGCCTCCAAGATCTAAACTGAAAATCTTTGAGAAGAAAAACAGCAAACAGCAAAATGTATAGTGAAACAACCACATAATCCACATGCTCTAAGCCTATCCCCTCTATTATTTGCCACTTCTGTAAAAACATAAGGATTTGTTACTTGACGGTATCTAGACAGCATGATTCATTATACCTCTCCCTGCCTGGAACCATCTTATAAGGTAGAATGAAAAGAGTACTGGACACAGGAGTCCTGTATTCCACTTTAAGTTACTAGGCAAAACAAACAAAAACAAAATATATTTGACTTAGATACTCTATTAGGATTCATTCCATCTCAAAACATTTATTGCATAGGAATGTCATTTTATTTCCAAGACAAATTTATAACTAGCACCATCTATTATTATATCAGCTTGAAGTGGGGGGCAGAGATTGAAAAGTCAAAAAGACAACTTTGAAATTCAAGCGCATATATATGTATATAGTCTCAATTGTATTTGCCTTTCTAAATCCCGGGGTTCTAAGGGAACCTAACTTTAGAGGAAAGATATTTACCATGTATACATAGGTAAATACCTTTCATCCAAGGGAAAAGCAAAGTAAGATAGCCCTATAACTTACTGGAGTTGTTTCCCCATGTTGTAGTGTGATTTCTTTTGCTGTGATAAACACCATGATCAAAAACAAGTTAGGGGAGGAAAGGGTTATTTCATCTTTCATTTCCAGATCACAGTTCATCAGTAATGGAAGTTAGGGCAGCAATCTGGAGACAGGAACCATGAACAAAAAGCAGTATTGGTTTATCTCTTAGCTTTGTTATACAGCCCATGTACACCTTCCAGGTTTCTTAGTTGGGTTTCTATTGCTGTGATAAAACACCATGACCAAAAGCAACTTAGAGAGGAAAGGATTTATTTCATGTTATACTTCCATATCACAATACATCATGAAGGAAGTCAGGGCAGGAATGCAAGCAGGGCAGGAGCTGATGCAGAGGCCATGGAGGACTGTTGTTCTTGCATTCTTGTAGCACTCACAACCACCAGCCTAGAGATAGTACTGCCTACCATGAACTGGGTCCTCTCTCATTAATCATCAGTCAAAAAAAAGGTACCACAGGCTTGCCCACAGGCCAATCTGATGGGGGCATTTTCTAATCAAGGTTCTCTCTTCCCAAATCACTCTAGCTTGTGCCAAGTTGATATAAAATTAGCCAGCACACTAGGGATTGTGCCCTACCCACAATGAACTGGGCCCTCCCATATCAATCATCAGTCAAGACAATTTCTTTTGAGGCCCTGGGACAAGGTGATTGAGACAATTCTTCAAGTGAGGTTCCCTTTTCTCAGGTGCATCAAGTTAACAATAAAAACTAATTAAGACACAATAGGGTCACCTCAGGTTCACTTACAATGTCACTCCTCCTGAAGTGTATTTTAGCTAACCTAATGTAAAGGCCTAACCCAGTGAAAATCATATTTATCAATAAGTCCTAAAGACTGCTTATCACTATTCTCTCAGGAATTGCCCAAGAGCTTCTTACAGCTAAAATACTAAAATAAGTATTATCTTTGTGCAATCAACAAAGGTAGATTTAATCATGATGCATTACTCTTTGGAAGAAAACAGGAGGTCTTAGCTGATAACAAAAGTTCTTTGTTATAGAATATCATTTTAAGGTGTTACTTTTGTTTATGTTGCATGTGTTTTAACTCTGTGAAGCTGTATTACTTTGTTTGTCAAAAACACCTGATGACTAATAAGGAACTGAATGGTCAATAGCAAGTTAGGAGAAAGGATAGGCAGGGCTGATAGGCAGAGAGGATAAATAGAAGGAGAAATAGGAGAGGAAGAAAAAAGAGATGGAGGAGTGAAAGGAAGTAGCAGCCAGAGAAGGAGGAGGACTCCAGGAGCCATCCATTCAGCTACACAGCAAGCCACGGAGTAAGATTTACAGAAGAGAATGGGACAAGGCCAGAGGCAAAAGGTAGATGGGATAATTTAAAGTTAAGAAAAGCTGGCAAAAAAAAAAAAAAAAAAAACCTGTCAAGCTAAGGCATTTATAATTAAGAATAAGCCTCCGTGTGTGATTTATTTGGGACCTGGATGGTGTGTCCCCCAAAAAGAAAAAAAGAGTAAAATACAAACAACAGTTCCTCATGAGTACGACAGCAAAAGTGATAAATATTACCAAGAGGAAATACAACCAGTCCCCACCCGAGTCTTTGGCACAAAGGTGGGCCCTGGAACAGAGAAGTTTGTACATTGGGAATGTTGGGAAAAGAGTATAGATTTTGTACACAGTGGCATTAGTTTCAGGCCATGGAGGAGTTTTTAGCACAAAGAGAATTGCTACCAGATAAGCAAATGAGAAATCTTTTCAGTTCCCAAAGCAGTATTAGTGTTGTTAAAGAAAAGTCTTCCTCCAGAAATGTATTCAGTGAAAATTCTACAAGAATGGCATTAATTTATAGGAAGTGATACTGATGCAGGAAATAAAACAACTTCATCATTTTGCCAAAATGATGCAACATCTTGGTGTTGAAAGCTATGTCCATAGGCAGAACAGAGGGAGAATATATTTCAAGGAAAGTCTTCAGATTGTGGTTACTAGAGATTATAAAAAAGAGGACTAATCACTTAAGAAAGCTATTATATAATCTACCTTTACTCTAGAAATTGAGATAGTTGTCTGTTAAGAGAGTAGAATTGGGGGAAATTTTACTTGATCTAGTTGTATATTATACTTAAGAACTTTTAGTAAAGTTTCATCAATCAAACTGCAAAAACTTAAACTGTTTTGATCTATGGAAGGGTCCAAGTAGGTTTATTCAATCTCTGATTTATTGAACAGTTTTAAAATGTCTATTATGAGATAATTGTGCTAGCAGAAATGTAAACAGAAATACATCAAATATTCTTGCACTCTAGAAGTTTCTGTATCATCTTTATATAACTTCTCCTCCACCCAAACTAGCTCTACATAGAAAATTTTACTGTATCAGTTAATAACCACACTTTTTAATCCTTCAAGGTGTTTAGTTTCTGTTTGAATGTGAAATGTTTCCCACGGACTTGTGGTTGAATACTTTGTCCTCAGCTGCAAACACTGTTTTGAGAGACAATTGAACCTTTAGGAAGTGGAGGTTAACAGGAGGTAATGGGTTGCTGGGACATGGCAGTGAGGGCCATATCCTGGCCCTGGTTCCAGCCAAGTTGTCTCTGCTTCCTAGTTGGTACAAAGTAAGGAGCCACTGTAAACTCTTGACACCAGAAACTGACCCACAAGCTGTCATGATAAACTGTACCTTTTGCACTGTAAGCTCAAATGAATCCTTCCTTTCTTAAGTTGCTTCCGTAAGGTGCTAGAGCACAAGAGAAAGATAACTAACAAAGGTCTTGGACTCATGTTGACTCAATCTCCTCCCGAACCACACATTCAAATGCTCAGCATGTATACTGTTCTTACTGTGAAGTTATAAAAGAATTTGACCAAACATCTTATCACTTCAAATCTTAAATGTATCCTAAAGGCTTATATGTTAAAGATACAGTCTTTAGCTTAGTGCTACAAGGGAAGGGTAGAAGTTTTAAGAGACCTAGTGGGAGGTTTTAAGTTTCGGGTATATCCTTGAAAGGGGGATCCTGGCCCCTCCTCTTCACTCCTTTTTGCTTCTTGACTGACATGATGTAAGTAGTCTCCTTTGCCATATACTAACACCATGATACACTGCCTCACCACAGTTCCAAAAGTACTGACGTCAACCTAATGACTTAAACATATAAGATAGAATCCACAATAAATCTTTCCTTTTTGTAAGTTGATTATCTCAACTATGTTGTTTCAGTAATGCAAAACTGGCGTTCACACCTCTATACTATGGTTCAAGCCACCCTTCTTGCCTTTGTTTGCTGTGTTCTTGGTGTGTTTCCCTAAGATGATCTGATAGCCTGGTCCTTCATTTCCTTTTAAGATGTCCCTGCAATGACGCCTATAGCAGGAATCTTAAAAGTTCTTATTAATAAAATCAAACCTGAGGGCAGTTATTGGGGTGAACACTAGAAGATCAGAGAGAGAGAACAAGCCACAGCTAACCTCACCTGGCCAACTTCTCAGCTGATCTTGTTTCCTCAGACTGGAAGCCTCTGTGTCCTCATATCCGAATGGCTCTCAGCTGAACTGCTGCTAGAAGCCTGAAAGCTTAACGAGCCAAATGCTTAACCAGCCAAATGCTTCTAGTTTCTAGTCCTTATACCTTATATACCTTTCTGCTTTCTACCATCACTCCCTGGGATTAAAGGCGTGAGTCACCATGCTTGGCTGTATCCTTGAACAGATGGATTTCTGCCTCTGGAATGCTAGGATTAAAGGCATGTGCTACCACTGCCTATCCTAAGTATCTAGTGGCTTTTCTGTTCTCTGACCCCAGATAAGTTTATTAGGGTATGCAATATTTTGGGGAACACAATACCACAGACGCCTGTTCTGACTAACTTAAAATTCAACTCCCCAGTAGTGTCCATTTCCATTACCCTAGTTTAGCTTCTCTAGTGCTCCATACAATTCTAATATATTATATAATTTACTTATATTTATTTTGTTTGTCTTCCCCCAAATAGAATGTATACTACCTAGAGACAGAGATCTCTGTTTTGTTCACTACTCTATCGCCAGCACTCATGATAGTGCATGGCTTATGATGACAATTGATGTATGTATGCTGAATTAATGAATTTTGGCAGAAACTTATTTAAGCATATTATTACAACATCATTGGCTAAGTACTAATAACAAACAAATGTACATAGTGCTACTACTGATAAGTGACTGCCACATTTTCAACCTTTGCTTGGTCTGTTTCCTCATTTGGAATGCCTCTCTTGATTGCCATACTACCTAAACCATATCAACTCTTTAGAGACCATATTCCATGTAGTGTTTAAAAATATATACATTTTTATTCTCTTTACTTTGAGCCATCACAGCTCATATAAAAGCTTCCATGACATTAATTTAATACTAGTTTGAACCTGAAACATTTTCATGTCTGGCTTCTAAATTATAAATACTTTAAAAATGACATTTTTCATTTTTAAATTCTCTACAGAACCCCACTCAGTGCCTTGAATAAGTTCTCCATAAGATAAATTAATAAACTGCCAGTTCTGTTTGCTGTAATGCAAAATAATCATCTTTATTGCTCGTAAGAGTATTGCCTGAAAAAGTCTGACAAATCCACTTATATCAACTTTGCTAGCTATGGGATGCTGCTCAAAATCTACATTAAGAATCTAATCACAGCAGAAGCTAAAACAATCAAGAGTCAATCTCCAAAGAAATGGCAATTTATGCTGCAGCACATTATATAAGATTGCTTAAAAATAAACATGAACCTTGGGCACTGCTGTTTTCCTCTCAAAAATTATAAAGGATTAAACTCACAGTGCACACAAGTAGGAAAGTTCAGATTTAATTTTTATTTGACTACACATCCCAAATTAAAAAAGGAGATAGTAGAAAAATAACTTCTATAAACTGCTTCCTACAACCTTTCTGAAGTACAGGAGGTAACAGTCTCCTACTGTACAAAAAATGATTAGTATTTTAACAACTTATACTAGTCTTGACTGTCAGAATTGAGAACTATCTCTTATACTAGTCTTGACTGTCAGAATTGAGAACTATCTCTAAGATAAGGAAGGGAAGGTCTTCAGGGGTGTTCTACAACTAGAATAAAGATCAAATGCAGTAGTTCCAAAACCGAACAACATAATGTTTGCTCTGCACAGATACATTTTCAGTTTTGCTCCTTGCACTTTTGCAGCTATCATCCCAGGTTAGCCTTATTTGATGTGCAGTAAATTAATAGTCATTGTCGTAAACAATGCAGTTTCCTCATTGCATCAGAAACAAAATTAATTATGTTAAATTCTAAGCAATTCCATCTAATCAACCTATTCCTTGACAACAGTCTTCCACACACTTATATTTTAATTTTAGTTTACTTTAATAGACCTATATCACTTGTCCTATATGAATATTCATAGTAAATAAAGAATTCCTTTCCGCTCAAATATTTATGTATAAAATTTTAATTTTCTATTCAATGAGAACCCATTTCAAATAACTGGTTTAAAGATAATTTTAAATTTGTAGGGATAATAAATTTCTATTGGACTGGGTATGTGTCTCAGTGGTAAAGCCCATGTCAGTCTGTATGGTCAACTTCTAATACCACTAAATAAATGTTATCTTTAACATATAGTAACAAAAAACACATATAATAGCCAATATATTTGGGCAGCATATTACTGCTTTTGATTATCACTATTTTAAGTACCCAGATGAGGAAAACTTAGGGTTCAGGAAATTAAAAGCCAATTTTTTAGT